AAACAGATTTAAAAATCAAAATCTTATTTTCTTAATCAATTGTGCACTAAGATTTCCTCACATAAATGTTGATAGATTTAAAAACAAAGGAATTACAAGTTAAGAACGCTTATTTTTTAAAAGAAACTAAACGTTGCCCTCTTACTTTGACAACATGGTGCTGTCACACAACTAGCCCTTTGGCCTATGTATACAATCTAAAAGGAATGCAAGATTTATTTAAAAAATAAATAAATAAATAAATAAATAACAATTCAAAATCTTGTTTGCTTAATTAATTGTGCCCTAAATTTGCCTGACATGTAGATGTTGCAAGATTTAAAAACAAATGAATTATAAGTTAAGAAATAAATGTAGTTAAAATGGAATGGTAAACATAATACCAACCATAATTATTCTGATAATGATGATGACCAACATATAAAATAAAACATTTAAGAAAAAACATGGAAATTTATAACATTGTTTAATACCCAAATGAACACTAGATTGTGCAAATCTCTAGATGTAAGACTACTTCTTTTGCCACAATGTTGAGATTGAAACTTTTAACACAACATTTATTTTCGATTTCCATTTTCTTTTTTCTTCTTTTCCCTTGCCGCAATCATCATTATTGTCGTTGTTTTTCCTATCCTCACCATCATTCTCACATCTTATTATGTTTTCTTCCATCTTCATTTTTCTTTTTTCTTCTTTTCCTGTGCCATCATCCTTCCGTTTACCCTTAGAAAGTGTGATAAACAGACTCCATATTATACTTTCATTCTTAAATTATCTATGTGATTATATGTTTGGTGTGAAATTGCATGTTTAATTGCATGAATGATATGATTTTGAATTTCTATCTATTGATTGTTGGAAAATCTATTGAAATTAGAACTTTGAGCTGAAAATTGAAGGTCTTAGAGATGGCAGAAACCAAAATGGATTGAATATCTATGATCAGCATGATTTTTAGAGCCTAACATGAAGTTTTGTAAAAATTTGATTTGGAATGAATTAATTGCATTTAATTAAGCTAGGAAGTTAAGTTATAACTAATTAACCTACACTTTTAACTTAAATTAAGATAGATATACCTGAGCGCCTTAGAGAACTTAGACTTGGACTCAAAAATATCTTGTTGGGAGGTTCTAGAGAGAGAGAACTAGAAGAGAAAGGGAGAAGATCAACTAGAGGCTTGAAAGCTTGGGAATTTGCAGGGGAAATTCAAGGAATTAACTCAAGGTATGTATAAATCAACTCAACCTCTTAGAACACCTTTTCACTTGTTTAAAATTAAGACTTGAAATGGAGATGCCACACCCAAAAGAGTTTGAGTTTTGCATTAAGAGCTTAATTGAACTATATTCATGGAATTGTACTTGGATCCCTTGGATTTATTTGAATTAAGAATGAATATCTTCATATTTGTTTGTCTTGAGGTTACTTGTGAGAACTTGAGCCCTAATCTTTAGCTTTTGTAAGATTTGAACTCAAAGAGTTACTCACAAAGTGAAGCTTTAAGTGAACTTGGATGAACATGAACAAATTCATGAATTCATGGAATCTAGGGCCATGATTTTGCAATTTAAGCAAGTTTTGATCCAACTGAGTTTGGAATGCACTTTATTTATGTATATATGTCATGTTTTTGAAGTGGATTTACATGAATTGGGCTTGAAAATGAGTTTGGAAGCTTAAGGTTGGATCAATTTTCAGACTGCCCAGAACCATAAGTGCGGATCTCACAGCCATACGTGTGGAAAATAGAACAAATCAGAGCTTTGCTACTGTTTTAATTGCATGTACGGGCCGCAAGTGTGGTGAGGGGCTTCCACATGTCCGAAAAACAAGAAGAAAATCTATCAATTTCTGTTAACCTCTTTGAACCTCTGAACCTGTTTAGGAGCATGTTTAGAGCCTCTGGAACGTCTAAAGATAAACAAAAAATGAACAAATCGTAAAATAATTAAATAAAGGAAAAGGCTAAGAAATGAATGAATTGTTTACCGAATTCGTATATGTGTTATGTTGTGTAGGTCACCTACCAGAAAGACCACCGCATGGCCAATATCACTGTGAGTAATAGTATGGTAAAGATATGTTTTTAAAGTATTTATTTTCTTTCTTAAACGATATGCTTTTTGTAATTTGTATTTTTTTGAAATGAATGAGTTTCATGAAATGTAAATGACATATGAAATGCGGGCCCAAGGCTGTTCTTTTTTATATGATTTGCTTGGACTTGAGGTCGTTCTAAACAAGTTTGACTATGTTGGGCTCAAGGCCGTTCTATTCATATAATGGGCCTAAGGCTGTTCTGTTAATATGTTGGTCCTAAGGCTGTTCCGTGTTATGTTGGGCCCAAGGCCGTTCCGAGTTATACTGGGCCCAAGGTCATTCTGTATTGTGATTATGAACATTGTTATGGAAGATACATTCGAATGTTGTTTTAAAGCACATGCTCATTCATTAAACCTCTTTACTTTACTATTATTCATTAAGCTTTGCTCACTCCGTATTTTATATATGTATGTAGGTGATCAATCTGGAGACCAACCTTAGGTCAACCTTAGGAGTTGCTTTTGTGGATCTACACTGTCAAGCCTCAAAAATAAAGCTTTTACCTTTTGAGAATTCCAGTGTGAACGTTACACCTTTTGTTGACTTTGCTACGATGCTTGCTATGAAGATGTAACTTTATGATAATAACTCCTCGTGTATAAGTTTTGTTGTATACTTGTGTGTGATTATATTAACTTGGGTATGTAAGCATTGCTCAATGGACATTATGCTATAGTATTTTCTTCTGTTTAGGCCCCATTATTGTAAACTCTATGTACCCTATTTGAGGTCGTAGGTAATCAAGGGATTACTGACCGGTTATGGTCCAAACTTTTAGAGGTGAGTTTGGGTCGTGATAGTTTAGTATCAGAGCACGAGTTAATACCTCACACACAGGTCCATTTGAGCTATAAGGAGTCTAGAAAAGACTTCGGTTGCATTAATGCTGCCTGTATATGATATGAATATGGCATGAAACATGATATGAAAGATGATATGAAGTATGAAACAAAGATAAATTTTATCACTATGTACTTGTGCGTATGTTCTGTGTGTGTTATAATCTATTGTTCTATAGATTATGGTGAGAACGAGGGCGGATGAATTGGAGGAGGCTACCTCCATACGGCTTGATTGACTAGAAATAATGATAATGGAAATGGCAGAGGCTATGAGACAACAACAACAACAACAACAACAACAACAACAACGACTGCCACCACCGCCACCTATGCCTGATCCACTTGTGGCACAAGAAAACCAAGCAGAAGATCAAACCATCGCACTTATGAAAGAGTTTAAAAAGATGAAACCACCTTTATTTCATGGAGGTGTGGACCCCACTTAAGCCCGATGCTTGTATGTTAGGAATTGAGAAATTGTTCGAGGTTTTCCCTTGAACTAAGGCACAAAAAATGCTACCTGCCGCCTTTACATTGGAAGGCGAAGCACGAAGATGGTGGATGCTTATACGAGATGAACATCGAGGTTTAAACTGGACTCAATTTTTAGAAGTCTTTTATGACAAATATTTTCCACAGTGCATCTAAGGCAGGAAGGTCACCAAGTTTGAGAATTTGAAGCAGGAAAACAAAATTGTAGCAGAGTATGAAGCACAATTTATAGAACTAGCTTGTTTTTCACTGCACATGGTGGATACGGACTACAAGAAAGAAAGGAAAATCGAGGGAGGACTCCGGAATGCCATTTTGGAGTGGATCAATCTTTTAAAGTTGCCAAAATACATTGATGTGTTGGATAGGGTATTAATGTCTGAAGCTAATATAGCTGCTCAAAACCGAATCTCAGAGTGGAAAGGGAAAAGACAAGGTATTAATGTGCAGAAAGGATCAGCATTTTCACAAAATAAGAAATTGAATTTGGGAACCTCCTCCAACACTTCCAATTCTACTCGTGACTTAGCACTAACTTGCCCAGAGTGTGGAAAGAAACACTACAGAGTTTGTTAACAAACAATTGGGGCTTGCAAATCGTAAAATAATTAAATAAAGGAAAAGGCTAACAACAACAACAACAACAACAACAACAACAACGACTGCCACCACCGCCACCTATGCCTGATCCACTTGTGGCACAAGAAAACCAAGCAGAAGATCAAACCATCGCACTTATGAAAGAGTTCAAAAAGATGAAACCACCTTTATTTCATGGAGGTGTGGACCCCACTTAAGCCCAAAGCTTGTATGTTAGGAATTGAGAAATTGTTCGAGGTTTTCCCTTGAACTAAGGCACAAAAAATGCTACCTGCCGCCTCTACATTGGAAGGCGAAGCACGAAGATGGTGGATGCTTATACGGGATGAACATCGAGGTTTAAACTGGACTCAATTTTTAGAAGTCTTTTATGACAAATATTTTCCACAGTGCATCTAAGACAGGAAGGTCACCAAGTTTGAGAATTTGAAGCAGGAAAACAAAATTGTAGTAGAGTATGAAGCACAATTTATAGAACTAGCTTGTTTTTCACCACACATGGTGGATACGGACTACAAGAAAGAAAGGAAAATCGAGGGAGGACTCCGGAATGCCATTTTAGAGTGGATCAATCTTTTAAAGTTGCCAAAATACATTGATGTGTTGGATAGGGTATTAATGTCTGAAGCTAATATAGCTGCTCAAAACCGAATCTCAGAGTGGAAAGGGAAAAGACAAGGTATTAATGTGCAGAAAGGATCAGCATTTTCACAAAATAAGAAATTGAATTTGGGAACCTCCTCCAGCACTTCCAATTCTACTCATGACTTAGCAGCAACTTGCCCAGAGTGTGGAAAGAAACACTACGGAGTTTGTTAACAAACAATTGGGGCTTGCTTTAAGTGTGGAAAGACGGGCCACTTAGTGAGGGATTGTCCCAAAAAAGAGCAACAAAATATTAATAGAGCAACTGCAAGTTCAACCAGTTCAACTCCAGCTCCAACAACAAAGACTACAATGAAGCCTAACAGTATAAGAGACAAAGTCAGACAGGGGAGAGTCTTTACCCTTATTCCTAGTGATGTTCAGAATACAGAGGCTGTGGTCTCAGGTACACTCTTTATCAATGGCTAACTTGCTCGTGTGTTACGTGATTCAGGTTCCACTCATTCCTTTGTTTTGAAAACATTTGCTTCTAATTTGAATAGACCTATGGACCCATTGAATTGTGTATTGTGTGTGTCTTCACCTTCTGGGGGCTCTATGATATGTGCTTCTATTTATCCTACATGTGAAATTTTAATTGGGGATGTTCACTTATATGCTAATTTGATTTCTGTTGATATGGATCATTTTGATATAATTTTGGGAATGGACTGGTTAAGTAAATATCATGCGACCATTGATTGTATGTCTAAGCAAGTTGTCTTCCGACCTTTGGGACAACATGAATTTACTTTTGCGGGGCATGGAGTAATTCCTCCACCTTATTTGATATCAGCCATGAAAGCATGTAAATTATTGCAAAAGGGTTGTCAGGGCTATTTGTGTAGTATTCTGCATGTACAACCAGCAAATGTGTGTGTTGATAATATTCTTATCATCCGTGAGTTTCCGGATGTTTTCCCAGATGACTTGCTAGGGAATTTGGTAGATCGTGAAATTAAGTTCGTAATTGATGTTGTGTCGAGAACTCAACCAATTTCAAAGGCTCCTTACAGAATGTCAATGGCATAAATGAATAAATTGAAAGAACAGTTGCAAGAATTTCTTGATAAAGGGTTGATCTGACCGAGCACCTCGCTTTGGGGTGCACTAGTTCTTTTTGTAAGGAAGAAAGATGGGACACTCCGGTTGTGTATTGACCATCGGGAGCTTAATAAAGTGACTATAAAGAATGAGTACCCTTTGCCTAGGATTGACGATTTATTTGATCAGTTGCAAGGAGCACAAGTATTTTCCAAAATAGATTTGAGATCCAGGTATCATCAATTGAAAGTAAGAGCCAAGGATATTGAGAAGACTGCTTTTCGAACCAGGTACGGCATTACGAATTTTTAGTTCTGCCATTCGGAATTACAAATGCACCGGTGACCTTCATGGACCTAATGAACCGCATTTTAAAACCATACTTGGATGAATTTGTAGTTGTGTTCATTGATGATATACTCATTTGAGAATAATTCTTCAAACACTTAGAGACAAGATATTATATGCTAAATTAAAGAAATGTGAGTTTTGGTTGCATGAAGTAGTGTTCTTGGGGCATATGATTAATAAAGAGGGTGTTTTTGTTGACCCACAAACGATAGAAGCTATTGTGAACTGGCCCACCCCAACTAATGTAACAACAGTGCATAGTTTCTTGGGTTTAGTAGGATACTACAGAAGATTTGTTAAAGATTTTTCCAAGATTGCAGTGCTAGTTACTCAATTGACACAGAAGGGTATTCCTTTGGAGTGGACAGAACAAAGGAATCTGCCTTCCACGAGTTGAAAACAAAGTTAACCATAGCACCAATTCTTGCCTACTGGCTAGTATATAAGGGTTTGTTATTTATAGTGACGTTTCTTATAAAGGATTGGGATGTGTACTTATGCAGAATGAAAGGGTGATTACATATGCTTCTCGTCAACTTAAGCCTCATGAAAAGAATTATCCCATACATGGCTTGGAACTAGCTGCAGTGGTTTTTGCATTAAAGATATGGTGACATTATCTATATGGTGTAACATGTGAGGTCTACACTGACCTTAAATGCCTGAAGTATTTCTTGAACCAAAAAGAGATAAATATGTGACAAAGACGATGGTTGGAACTTATTAAAGATTATGACTTGCAACTTTATTACCATCATGGTAAAGCTAATACGGTAGCAGATGCGCTTAACATAAAGTATATGGGGAACCTAGCATGTTTGCTTATAGGGTGGAAAGAGTTGCTACTCGAGTTGGAAAGAATAGAACTGGAGATTGTGCTACGTGAATAGGGCGGAGTGTTAGCTGCCATATCAACACAACCGATTATTATTGAAGAGATTAAGCAAAGACAAGTGGAAGATGAGTTTCTTAAGAAAATTTGTGATGAGATAGAAACAAAGCCAAAACTAGGGTTCATTTTTGAAAAGTTAGTGCTAAAGTTTAAAGAAAGATTATGTGTTCCAAATGTCCCAGACATTAAAAGAAGAATTATGGAGGAAGTGCATAATTCTAAATTTGTAATGCATCCCGGTAATACAAAAATGTACCAAGATGTCAAGCAAACCTTCTAGTGGCCTAACATGAAAAAGGAAATTGCAGAATTTGTTTTGAAATGTTTACAATAGTAAGCACCAAAAATTGGCGGGTTTACTTCAGCCTCTCCCAATTCTGGAATGGAAGTGGGAGCACATAACCATGGATTTTGTGGTTGGCTTACCCCGAACACCCCGAGATATGAATTCTATATGGGTTATTGTAGATAGACTGACTAAATTTGCTCACGTTTGGCCCATGAAAACTCTTTACAATGCGGATAAACTTGCTACTGTGTATATCAACGAAATTGTTTGATTACATGGTGTTCTAGTTTCAATTGTATCCGATAGAGATCCTAAATTTGTATCAAAATTTTGGCAAAGTTTACAGGATGCATTGGGGACAAAGTTGAGGTTCAGTACAGCATTTCACTGCCAAACAAATGGTCAGTCAAAAAGAACAATACAAACGTTGGAGGACATGTGTTAGATGTGTGTTTTGGACTTTCAAGGAAGTTAGGAAACTTACCTATTGTTGGCCAAATTTGCATACAACAACAATTTCCATTCGAGTATAGGGATGGCACCATATGAAGTTTTATATGGGAGAAAATGTCGATCCCTAATTTGTTGGACCGAAGTTAGTGATAGAGCATTGTTTGGGCCTAAAATTGTACAAGTAACTACCAAGAAAATCAAGACCATTCAATAAAGATTGAAAACCGCCCAAAGTCGGCAAAAGAGTTACGTGGATCAAAGAAGAAGGGATTTCGAATTTGAGGTTAATGATTATGCTTTTATCAAGGTCACTCCGATGAAAAGGAGAATAAGATTTGGAAATAAAGGGAAATTGGCGCCTCGATACATAGGTCCGTTTCAAATTTTGGAAAGATTAGGTCCAGTTGCTTATCGTGTTGCCTCACCACTGGGTATGGAACAAATACATAATGTGTTTCATGTATCAATGTTACGAGGTTACGTCCAGGATCCTTCTCATGTTATAGCCTACTGTCAGATTGTTTTAGATGAGGATATGGTCTACGAAGAAAAACCCATTCAGATTATGGATCGATAAGTGAAACAGTTATGGAACAAGACAGTCCCAATGGTGAAAGTTGAATGAAAAGAACGCTACGAGAAGGAAGCCACATGGGAACGAGAAGAAGAAATGAGACAATGATATCCTGAGTTATTTTCAACTTGAGGTAACATAAGTTTGAGGGACCAAACTTCCTAAAAGGGGGAAGACTGTGATAACTCAACTCCATATTATGCTTTCATTCTTAAATTATCTACGTGATTATATGTTTGGTGCGAAATTGCATGTTTAATTGTGTGAATGATATGATTTTGAATTTCTACCTGTTAAGTGTAGGAAAATCTGTTGAAATTAGAACTTTGAACTGAAAATTGAAGGTCTTAGAGACAACAGAAACCAAAATTGATTGAATATCTATAATCAGCATGATTTTTAGAGCCTAACATGAAGTTTTGTAAAAATTGGATTTGGAATGAATTAATTGCATTTAATTAAGCTAGTAAGTTAAGTTAGAACTAATTAACCTACACTTTTAACTTAAATTAAGATAGATATATCTAAGGACCTTAGAGAACTTAGACTTAGACTAAAAAATATCTTGTTGGGAGGTTCTACAAAGAGAGAGAGAGAACAAGAGGAGAAAGGGAGAAGATCAACTAGAGGCATGAAAGCTTGGGAATTTGAAGGGGAAATTCAAGGAATTAGCTCAAGATATGTATAAATCAAATCAAACTCTTATTATACCTCATCACTTGTTTAAAATTAAGACTTGAAATGGAGATTTCACACCCAAAAGAGTTAGGGTTTTGCATTAAGAGCTTAATTGAACTATATTCATGGAATTGAACTTCGATCCCTTGGATTTGTTTGAATTAAGAATGAAAATCTTCATATTTGTTTGTCTTGAGGTTACTTATGAGAACTTGAGCCCTAATCTTTAGCTTTTGTAAGATTTGAACTCAAAGAGTTACTTACAAAGTGAAGCTTTAAGTGAACTTGGATGAACATGAAGCAATTCATGAATTCATGGAAGCTAGGGACATGATTTTGGAACGTAAGCAAGTTTTGATCCAATTAAGTTTGAATACACTTTATTTTTGTATATATGTCATGTTTTTGAGTGGATTTACATGAATTGAGGCTTGAAAATGAGTTTGGAAGCTTAAGGTTGGATTAATTTTTGGATTGCCCAGAACCGCATGTGCGAAGCTCACAGCCACATGTGCAGAGAATAGAACAAATCAAAGCTTCGCAACTGCTTTAATTGCATGTGTGGGCCGCATGTGCAGCACCTTTCCCATGTGCGGCGAAGGGCCTCTGCACGTACGGAAAACAGGGAGAGAATCTGTCTATTTCCGTTAATCTCTTTGACCTTCTAAACCTGTTTATGAGCATGTTTAGACCCTCTGGAATGTCTAAAGATAAACAGAAAATGAATGAATCGTAAAATGATTAAATAAATGAAAAGGCTAAAAAATGAATGAATTATTTATCGAATTCGTATATGTGTTATGTTGTGTAGGTCACTTGCCAGAAGGACCACCGCACGGCCAATATCATTGTGAGTAACAGTATGTTATATATATATATTTAAGTATTTATTTTCCTTCTTAAAGGATATGCTTTCTGCAATTTGTATTTTTTTAAATTAATGAGTTTCATGAAATGTTGGCTCGAGGCCGTTCTATTTTGATATGATTTGCTTGGACCTGAGGTCGTTCTGACCAGCTGTGACTATGTTGGGCCCAAGGCCATTCTGTTCATATGATTCAGAATGAGGTCGTTCTGTTAACATGTCGGACCTAAGGCCATTCTGTGTTATGTTGGGCCCAAGACTGTTCCGAGTTATGCTGGGCCCAAGGTTGTTCCGTAATGTGATTATGAACATTGTTATGGGAGATACATTTAAATGTTATTTTAAGGCACATGCCCATTCATTAGATCTCTTTACTTTACTATTATTCATTGAGCTTTGCTCACTCCGTATTTTATATATGTATGTAGGTAATCAATCTGGAGAGCAACCTTGGGTCAGCCTTAGGAGTCGCTTTTGTTGATCGGCACTGTCAAGCCTAAAAAATGGAGCTTTTACCTTTTGAGAATTCCCGTGTAAATGTTACACCTTTTGTTAATTTTTCTATGATGCTTGCTATGAAGATGTAAATTTAAGATGATAACTCCTTGTGTATAAGTTTTGTTGGGATACCCTGATATGTATACTAGTGTGCGATTATATTAACTTGGACATGCAAGCACTGCTCAATGGACATTATGCTATAGTATTTGTTTCCACTTAGGCCCCATTATTGTAAACTCTATGTACTCTGTTTGAGGGCATAGGTAATCAAGGGATTACTGGCCGGTTATGATCCAAACTTTTAGGGGCGAGTTTGGGTCGTGACAGAAAGCGTCATAATAATAAGAGCAGCCTTTTCATCAACAGGTGAAGGAACATAAATCGA